ATAATGATTAGGGGTCTTGGCCGGGTTAAAGACCCTTTTTTGCCTCGCGATGAACTCTTCTATGGTGTCACACCCGTCATCCTCCATTACCAGGTAAGCATGGCCTTGCAGTCGGCCCTTCAACAGAAGTGTCAGCTGCGGCTCAACGTCTGGAGGTATCAAATCGCGGGCCCGTTTGCACGCTCGAGCAAACTGGAGGATCGGTACGTTGTATCCATTGAACCAGGGCACGGTATCGGCGGCATCTTTCACGGTAACGTGAGAGAAGACGGGGTACGCCGACCCCGGGTAATAAGGACTCCATATCGGTGGTGCTCCCAAGGGGGCTGGAGTGAATTGCCTCGTTCCGGCTCCAGGTGTGAACGGAGGCTGCTGGTAGCCTGACGGATTCGTAGTGGCTTGCAGGCTCGCCAGCTGTTCACTCAACCTGCGGACCTGTTCAGCAAGCGAATCTTCTGAGGATGTGAGGTATTCCGCAGGAGGTTGGATCAACCTCTTGTGCGTAGACTCCACCTCTGCGCCTTTATCCCGCAGTCGTTGGACCTTGTTGGTCAAATCCTAGATATCTTGATCGCGAGGATCCAAATCATCCGCTTCGGGATGTAAGGGCGTTGCGCCTTTCTCATGTGTATCGATGCTTTTATAAATAGCTACGAACTCTGACAAAATTAAAACGCGGTATAAAGGGTCTTTGTGCGGGTGCTGTGTGCCAGGCACAACGAACTCATCCCACCGCTGTCATCAAAGAAAATTGCTCGTGTTACGTCCTGGGTCCCCAGGACCGGTTGCAGGATGCAACGAGGCTATGAATTGATCGTTCAGGGATGCTGCGATTCCAGCTCGCCTGAACGACTCGAATCCCGCGCGAACACTATGCGGTTCATGGAAAGAAATCGGAACGTTTTATCTTTAAATAAATCGTGACTTTGCGTTGCCAAGCGGATACAACGTTTATTTCGCAGGTCGGGTGTCACGGTTGAGGATCGCAGTGTTCGGGTCGTAGCATTCACCTTGTCGGTACGCCTGAAAATTTGGAATGACCAGACGCGGAACGGGTGCGCACTTGTGATGTAGATGCAGCCAGAAGCAGTGCTAGTCCGCTCCTGAAACTGCAGGAAAGGATTTGGAAATACAGCCAGAAGCAGTGCTAGTCCGCTCCTGAAACCGTAGAAAGGGATTCTATTTTTGGGAAGGAATTGTGTTCGCCGCATACTGAAAACCGTGTCACACTTCCTTGGCACTAACACCGAATAACTGTCACTATCGGGCAGGAACACGAATAATTCTCAATAAATCGAATAAAGTCATTTAATGTTTAACACTAAGTCGTTTATTCACAGTCCCGTTGTATGGTTACACGAAGTATCACGTAATAATCTCAAATCAAGTTAAGTAAGAGTTCGTATATGCAATTCAATTTCAATAGCTGTCCGCGAAGGAATACAATGAATGATCCGATCAGTTGAACGGTTCGCAAGAGAATGCCCCGCGTCGTGAACGGCGTCGCTTAATATAGACGTGTCAGTAGTGGGGAGGTTCCCACTGTTCCCTCTTCCCCTTCTCTTCGGTACCTCAGCCCAGAAATAGGTTAAGTTTAATAAAATAACTCTCGGAAATCTTCTAAGTCCAAACGGAATTAACCCCTTAACCTACAACTACGGGCATAGCCCGTGTACGATGATCGACCCAAAAGTGAATATTACGGGCATAGCCCGTAGTATGATGATCGGCCCAAAAGTGAATATTATGGGCATAGCCCGTAGTACGATGATTGGATCAAATATAAATATTAGCGGCGGCGCCCTCTTAAAATTATAAATATTTGTGGAATATTTGATATGTAATTACATCCTGATGCAATAATTGTGGTAGTTGCAAGTACTACAAAAAGTTTATTTATACAAAAATTAGTAATACAAAATTAATAATCTGCAATGGTGTGATATAATTCGAAGCATTCTGGTGCATGTAAAGGAACTTTACACTCCCACGTTGTTTCTCTACGTTTTTAATTTTTTTGGCAAATTCTACAAGATTTTGACGGTCTTAATTTTGATGCTGTAGGATCAATGTGCTTTGGAAAATGAGCCCAATGCTTCGCGTGCAGTCTCTCTGGCGCATCTCCGGAAGATAATTCGCCTCGTTCTCTATCATTCGGTTTTGGCATATTCTTCAGTAGATATTCGGCTATGTCGATCCTATAGTCGACGTAACATTGTTTCTTCCCGTTATTTATTTTTTTCCATAAAATGTAAGAGTTAAAAAGACCAATATCGAACAGATAAAAAAAATTTTTTTATATCCTTTCATGTATTTCCTCATTACTGCTGATATTTGGTCTTGGAGATCAGTTCCATTCATTCCCTTGTTGTACTCTGTAATACAATTTGGTTTTGTAGTCATTTCGACTGTTTCATGTTTTGTCGACATAATATAAACATCTCGCTTGTCTTTCCATTTTATAGCGAGTATTCTGTTGCAGCTTCTTATTGCGTATTCCCTCCTTTTTAATTTTACATTGCACAAATCTTTTGGCATATGCTTCCTATTCTCACGTACTGTGCCAATTACATTTGTTTTATATTTATATGATAATGTCATAAATAATTTTGGGGAAGAATACCAGTTGTCTATGTATAAAGTGTGACCCCTGTGCAACACTGACTCAGAAAGCTCTTTGACAACACTTTCCGAAGCGCTATCATCACAGTTTGTTTTATCGCGGCCTGTATATATTTTAAATTCATAGCAATAGCCTGAATCGGACTCACATAATTTATAAAATTTAACGCCAAACCTTGCCCTTTTTGATGGGTTAAATTGCTTATAAGATAGGCGCCCCTTGAATTTCATGAGCGATTCATCAATTGCAATCTCTTCTTTCATTATATACACTTCTTTAAATTTTTGGTTCAAAAAATTGATCACAGGTTTAATCTTGCTCAATTTATCTGTATTGGCAACCAGATTATTATTTGAGAAATGTAAACACCTTGTAATTTGCAGATATCTTTTCAAAGGCATTGATTTTCTAAATATCGGCGTTTCGATAACAGCCCTCTTCGACCAATTCATTTGTATTCTTGGTTTTTTTACCTGTGCCATTATTATGGTCAATGCGAAATATCTTTTAATTTCGGTAGAATCTACAGGAAACCAAGTGTCGTCGATTTTTCGTGTTCTATGTGGATTCGTTCGTATTTGATCTGCATACTGGTTAGTTTCGGTTACAATATTGTTCCAGAATATGTCATCAAATATTAGATTAAATATATCAAATTCTTTTCTACTTCCTCCTAATTGACATAAGGCTGCCTCTCTTATGCCAGGGGTCATCGTATAGTCCCAGATTTTTGGACTATTTCTTATTTCGTTCCAAAGCCAGGACTCTGGTAGTTGATCTTCATCGGATATATCATCAATAACTAATCGCCTACACTTTCTTCGAACACGACATATATCGTCACTACTGTCACTTTCGTTAGCAAAATTATTAGCACAATTCTCACTGCTTTCATCACGAAATCTTTTTCCTGAGAACATCTTGTGGGGTTGCTTCTCTAGAATTTATGAAAGTAAATTTCGATGTGCGAATGTGACCAAGAATAACTTGAAACTGATAACGATACGAAGAGATAATAGGAATACATCACGAGCCTTGTCTGTGCTATTTACAAACCGCGTCCGTCCTACCACGAGCGATGCCCGTAATATTTACGATTGGCTCGATCAGCATATTACACAAGTTCTGCGAATGGCTCGAAGGCTGCGCGAACTTCTTTACGTTTCCGGCCCAAAATTCTCGAACATAAATCATAGATTAAGGGGTTAATAGAAATAAATCGGAAATATTTCCAATTCCAAAATGGGATAGACCGAAGTAAATCGAAAATGAGACTAAGTCCAATATCGAATAAATTGAAATAAATCGAAACATATTCTAAGTCCCTTATGGAATAAATTGAAATAAATCGTGACACCTATGCTCCTGGGAGGTTCGTTCGGACGGGAGCCACCGAGAATCTGTCCCTCCACGTACGCACACGATCGCACCATATCCGTGTGCTCCGAGTTCGGCTCAACTTCGGCTCAGTAGAGAGAGAAGGCGAAACATCAGTCCGTCGCTCTTGCTCTTAGTGCGTTAAAATCCAAACAGTCTCCATCCGACTGACGGCTTTGAACTCTCGATTCCCGTCCTTCTCCGCATTATAAGTTAATGTTATTAAAAAAAAATGATAATTTTTCGTTACGGAGAAACATGTTTTATCTTTTGATCACATGAGACAACGTGAGAAGATGAATTTTTTTTATGTCTCATACAATTGTTAATCTTATACACTCTTATGTCAATCTTATAACTAAATTAACGGGTCTAGCAAAGGGAATGATAGACGGCTTGAAGAATGATATGGTAAGATACATTATAACATAAAACAATGAAATCAAAAATTTAGTGCAAAAGAACACCGAGAAAATTGAAAAAATTGCTGAACACTTAAACCTACAATTGGAGTAAGAGAAAGATTAAACAAATTAGAAAGTAAATGTAATCTACATATAGTAGAAGTAAATGTAAATTCTATCATAGCAAATAGTCGTAGGTATGAGTTAGCCGTCTTCTTGGAGCAAAATAAACCGGACATAGCAGTTATATGTGAAACAAAATTAAGCAAAAAACACATAATCAGATTTGAAAATTACAAAGTCGTCAATAATCCTAGAAAAGAAGGAGGAGGGGGAACGGCAATAATAATAAATAATAAAATTGAGTTCGAAGAAATAAAAATAAGCGGGATGGAATTCATAGAATTATCGATAATTAGTTTTTCGGCAGGAGGAAAATAGATGCGTTTGAGTAGGGAAAAAATTAGACTTCCTTACAAGAAAAATGGTTTTATTGCTTCCACGCTAACCTCTACGCTCCACGCTTCGCACCACGCTTTCCAGAAAAACTATCGTTCATACCGCCGTCGCTACGGGGCGTTCTGCCTTCTTCGTGACTGCGCAGAATATTTTTCACGCTGACACGCTGTTAGGCATGAGAGCCACGATATCCTCCCACTATATATTTTTTGACGACTACATAAAACAAAATATATACATATTATTCCTCTACTGAAAATGTTCTGGTTTCTTAGCTACTCGCCCACTTCTCGTCGTAAGCGGTGACGCATATTCTACAGGAGTATCAATATTCGTCACAACGTCGCTACGGGTCTCAGTTCTCACATTCTTTAGGCTTGCTTTTCTTGCAGACTCTCGCATTTTCGCTTCTTCCCGCAAATCTTTACACCTGCGATTCGAAAACCGGTACTCGCAGCCTCCCTGGGCTGTCCCTTTCGTATCTCGTCTAAAATAGCTCTTCGATTTTTAATAAATCTTTTCATCCACGCCAGAAATCGTACAAGCTTAGTATAACTAGAAAAATGTTCGTTAACACAAAAGGGTCGACTTTCGAGGCTGACCATTCAAACTAACGAACACTACGAACTATTGCCTCGTCTACGCACTGTGTCGAAACCGGCCAGCCTTCTATCGAATCGTAAAGCCATCTAGGCCCTTTCCACCACTCCGATTTTACTAACTGCGCGGGACTGCAACCACGCGAGGGGAGATCCGCCGGATTCGCGTCACCCGGCACAAATCTCCAATCCTCCGATTAACTGTGTAAACGGATCTCCTTTACGCGATTATACACGAAAGTGCCCCACTGCGTGTCGCGACTTATCCAAGCTAGCACCGTAGTCGAGTCCGACCAATAAATAACGTGCGAAACTTTACGTGTAAATGACTGAATTATGCTATTCTCTTATTCGAGTCTAACGGCGACGGTAGCGGCCATCAACTCTAGCCTCGGTATCGTTGTTTTCTTAGGTGCAACGCGCGTTTTTGCGATTAAAACCTTCACGGTTACTTCTTCGTTGCATTCGATTCTCGCGAACACCACAGCCGCGTAAGCCTGTCCGCTCGCGTCTCCCAAAACGTGAAAGATAAATCCCTGTCGCCTAATTCTCGTGGAATGCTGATTTCTTTCAACAGCGGCAATTCCCGCAACCACTTTAAAAAATCGTCTCTTTTATGGTCACGAATCTCGGCATCCCAAGGGATTTTCTCCTCCCATAAAGTTTGCAGAAGCTTCGGTTTCAAAAGAGCCGGGCAAGTAAAACCAAAAGGATCGAAAACTCCGTGAACAATCGATAAGATACTACGTTTCGTAATAACTTCGGGTATGTCAGTTTTTAATGCCGGATTGATTGACAAGATACCTCTTCGTTAGTCCCATAAGACTCCTAACACTAATATTGTATCCCTGTCGCTAGTATCCTACCATAATAATAGACTGTGATTCACCAATAAATTTATCTAGCTCTACGGAAGAATTCACGCTCGTTACACAATTATCCACGTAAAAGGATTTACTGCGCTTTTCGACTGTGTCTTTGGACCAATTCGTATCTACACCTCCAGCCGCCCTCTGCGCGGCCGCTTCCATAAGTAGCTCAGTAACAGCTGACAATAGAAAGAGGCTACAGATAAGACCGAATACCACGAGACAGTGTCGGAGAATAACTATTTTCCCGTCTCTTACTGTCTCATACAATTGTTAATCTTATACACTCTTATGTCAATCTTATAACTAAATTAACGGGTCTAGCAAAGGGAATGATAGACGGCTTGAAGAATGATATGGTAAGATACATTATAACATAAAACAATGAAATCAAAAATTTAGTGCAAAAGAACACCGAGAAAATTGAAAAAATTGCTGAACACTTAAACCTACAATTGGAGTAAGAGAAAGATTAAACAAATTAGAAAGTAAATGTAATCTACATATAGTAGAAGTAAATGTAAATTCTATCATAGCAAATAGTCGTAGGTATGAGTTAGCCGTCTTCTTGGAGCAAAATAAACCGGACATAGCAGTTATATGTGAAACAAAATTAAGCAAAAAACACATAATCAGATTTGAAAATTACAAAGTCGTCAATAATCCTAGAAAAGAAGGAGGAGGGGGAACGGCAATAATAATAAATAATAAAATTGAGTTCGAAGAAATAAAAATAAGCGGGATGGAATTCATAGAATTATCGATAATTAGTTTTTCGGCAGGAGGAAAATAGATGCGTTTGAGTAGGGAAAAAATTAGACTTCCTTACAAGAAAAATGGTTTTATTGCTTCCACGCTAACCTCTACGCTCCACGCTTCGCACCACGCTTTCCAGAAAAACTATCGTTCATACCGCCGTCGCTACGGGGCGTTCTGCCTTCTTCGTGACTGCGCAGAATATTTTTCACGCTGACACGCTGTTAGGCATGAGAGCCACGATATCCTCCCACTATATATTTTTTGACGACTACATAAAACAAAATATATACATATTATTCCTCTACTGAAAATGTTCTGGTTTCTTAGCTACTCGCCCACTTCTCGTCGTAAGCGGTGACGCATATTCTACAGGAGTATCAATATTCGTCACAACGTCGCTACGGGTCTCAGTTCTCACATTCTTTAGGCTTGCTTTTCTTGCAGACTCTCGCATTTTCGCTTCTTCCCGCAAATCTTTACACCTGCGATTCGAAAACCGGTACTCGCAGCCTCCCTGGGCTGTCCCTTTCGTATCTCGTCTAAAATAGCTCTTCGATTTTTAATAAATCTTTTCATCCACGCCAGAAATCGTACAAGCTTAGTATAACTAGAAAAATGTTCGTTAACACAAAAGGGTCGACTTTCGAGGCTGACCATTCAAACTAACGAACACTACGAACTATTGCCTCGTCTACGCACTGTGTCGAAACCGGCCAGCCTTCTATCGAATCGTAAAGCCATCTAGGCCCTTTCCACCACTCCGATTTTACTAACTGCGCGGGACTGCAACCACGCGAGGGGAGATCCGCCGGATTCGCGTCACCCGGCACAAATCTCCAATCCTCCGATTAACTGTGTAAACGGATCTCCTTTACGCGATTATACACGAAAGTGCCCCACTGCGTGTCGCGACTTATCCAAGCTAGCACCGTAGTCGAGTCCGACCAATAAATAACGTGCGAAACTTTACGTGTAAATGACTGAATTATGCTATTCTCTTATTCGAGTCTAACGGCGACGGTAGCGGCCATCAACTCTAGCCTCGGTATCGTTGTTTTCTTAGGTGCAACGCGCGTTTTTGCGATTAAAACCTTCACGGTTACTTCTTCGTTGCATTCGATTCTCGCGAACACCACAGCCGCGTAAGCCTGTCCGCTCGCGTCTCCCAAAACGTGAAAGATAAATCCCTGTCGCCTAATTCTCGTGGAATGCTGATTTCTTTCAACAGCGGCAATTCCCGCAACCACTTTAAAAAATCGTCTCTTTTATGGTCACGAATCTCGGCATCCCAAGGGATTTTCTCCTCCCATAAAGTTTGCAGAAGCTTCGGTTTCAAAAGAGCCGGGCAAGTAAAACCAAAAGGATCGAAAACTCCGTGAACAATCGATAAGATACTACGTTTCGTAATAACTTCGGGTATGTCAGTTTTTAATGCCGGATTGATTGACAAGATACCTCTTCGTTAGTCCCATAAGACTCCTAACACTAATATTGTATCCCTGTCGCTAGTATCCTACCATAATAATAGACTGTGATTCACCAATAAATTTATCTAGCTCTACGGAAGAATTCACGCTCGTTACACAATTATCCACGTAAAAGGATTTACTGCGCTTTTCGACTGTGTCTTTGGACCAATTCGTATCTACACCTCCAGCCGCCCTCTGCGCGGCCGCTTCCATAAGTAGCTCAGTAACAGCTGACAATAGAAAGAGGCTACAGATAAGACCGAATACCACGAGACAGTGTCGGAGAATAACTATTTTCCCGTCTCTTACCCATAAGAACCGTAGGTAATCTCGATCACCCATATTAACAGCTATCTGCAAAAATGCCTCTCGAATGTCGGCTACTACTCCGATCTTGTTCTCGCGTAATCTGACTAGAAGCATGTTTGGAGATTTAGCCTAAACAAAATTTTAACTGGTACCGGAAAAGAGGGAAGCAGGTTTAAATGAAATAAAAGTATTAATCCTTTTATCTATAATTTGGCGAAGGCTGAGGCCGACCGATTATCGTCTGTCCCTGTAAACAAACAGAATAAAGAACGATTCGATTAATTTAAAGTAACGACTGAATATCAGCCGCGGACTGTGAAGGATTATGTGAAAGCCCTTATTTTTCCGTACTGAATTTCGGTCAGCCGAAACAGTGCTCCTGGTACGCCGCTTGCAATTGCACGCACAGCTAATGTGGCTGTACGTGGAAGTTCGGGTCGTAAAGCCGAACTTCTACTAGCATGCACAAGCTCAGTACGCTTGCAAGCTACACTTTTTCCTGGTGCACCTTCACTAGGGAGATCGGAAGCGCGTTATCGTATTCGCGGAACTCTGCAGTATCGGGTGAATATCCAATACCCACTGCAGGCCCTTGACGAATGCGCCGATCCCTCAAGCGGTGGTCGACCAACAATTGGCCACTGACCCGGAGCGTAATCCGCTGGCAAGATACGATCTCCTGTTCGTATCTCGTTCCCTGCAAATGAAATCAGTGCGGCGGCAACCTAAGGAGGAATCGAAAGAACTGATCTTTCGATTCTCTTTTGCGGAAGTTGGAAAAGGGTTGAGAGGAACTGTAATACAGTCTATTCCTCGTCCTTTCCTGCGATAATTTCTGATTATGAATTCTTCCTTTGATGAATAGTGAAAGCATAGTATCGAAATATTCCAATCTGTTCACTGTGACGGCTATGTGCTGAAAGACCGCAGAGCTCCGCTTGTCCGTCGAGGAAAACTAATCCTCCGCTATGCGGCGTCCTCGACGAATTAGTTTGTCCTTTTCTATTATATATTCTTCTAAGATCGAGAACACCTGTTCCGAGAATTCGAATGCGAATTCTCGTAACCGGTGATTCCGGCCGGCAGACGGTGTTGTTATTTTTCTTCCTCAGTACGGCTCGCGTTGACTCATCGGTATAAGAAACGTCGCACCGTTTCTTATACTCGAGCAATTCGAAATGTGACGCTTTATTAAAATTTAATTCGATAAGGCCGAGAAAACTATGTAAGCCTTCCTTTTGATTTTAAAAACGCCGTTCTTTAAACACACCGCCCCCCTTGCGCGAATCGCGCAACCGGAATTGACTCGATCTATACCGGAGATGCATAAATGCAGTTGTTCGACTCACCGCTTATTCCAGGCGTCGAGTGACTTTTGTAGGAATTTTGCGAGTCCCGGTCTCGATCTCGATCTCGTCGAGGCTGCTCCCGTCGCGGCGGCGAGGGTGTCCTCGCGCGAGTCCTCCGATGACTTTTCTTCCTTTTTGGTTGCGCCTTGGTGTCCGGTTCCCGCTTTGGCTTCCTTTTGGAACCAGCGGCCTCGCTCTGCTTGTCCTCGGAGGTGGACGTCGACGGAGGGTTGTCGTTGAACGTCAATGACGTCAAGCGTCCCTCTTTGTTCCATCGGAACATGTATTTCCCTGACCCCACATGCCAGCGAAAACGTCGCGAAGTGAACGGAATATGACCCGGCACCGTCACTGCACCATTAATTGCCACTGGGAATACTAGCGGAGGCTGGATCCGGGGCTCCGGAGTTTGTTGCCTCTCCGGAGTGTTTTCCGGGGTCGGCTGCGTCCGCTTGGGAATGCGATAATTTCGCGGACTGCGCTTCCGCTTTTTTTGTAGGCGTCGCCTGTTCGTCCATCTGGTCACTCTCTGGGCTGGTAGGTGCCAGTTTCAAAACCTTCTCAAAAGCGTTGAACTTCTGTCCGTTTTGTTCTTGCGACATATCGATAAGTAATGAGCGCGACGCCCCTCGCGAGATATTTACATGCGGCAGAACTCCGAAAATTCTCGAATCCCCCGTTTTGTCTTCGATGCAAGAGAAGTGGTATCGGAGCACCGACACCCTTCCCCGGTGGTCTAATGATTGGGGGGGACAAGGGGACACAAATCGTTTTGAATTCGAAACTGTTATGTCCGCTGTCCTTCTATTGCCGTGCTATCGAAATTCGTTAGCCGTCTGTTTCTTGGTTTGTCGGTGATGTTAGTGTTGACAATTCGTCGTCGATAGGCAATTACACAAGCGCGTAATCGCTCTTGTGTACGTCCCTTTTGTCGTTTGAATTTCAACGACTCTGACATTTATGTCGTGTCTAGGAAAAACCTTTTTTACTCTTCCCATTTCCCACTGAATAGGGGGTAGAAGAGGGTTTTGGACTAACACCAGATCACCAGGCTGCAACTGTGTCTGTGTGGTTTGCCACTTGTATCGCTGCTGGAGATGCAAAAGGTAATCTCTTGACCAATGCTCCCAGAGCTGCTCATGGAACTTTTGTATTACCTTCCACAGCGTTAAACACAAGAGATTCTCGTTTTCCACGGACTCCTTAGGCAGTGCATTTAACGGCGCGCCAATTAAAAAATGACCTGGCGTAAGCGCCGAATCATCTGCACAGTCACTAAGTGGGGCGATCGGGCGTGAATTTAAACTAGCCTCGATCTTGCAAAGCAATGTCTGCATCTCTTCCCCTGTCGGCGTGAATTCTCCAATCACTCTTTTTAAATGATGTTTTACTGATTTCACACCAGCTTCCTGCAAACCACCGAAATGCGGTGCACTGGGCGGATTAAACTTCCATTTGATTCCCAGTTCGAAACACTTGTCACGCATCTCAGCCGAATTATAACAACGGGTAAATTCTCGCATTAATTCGCGATGCGCTCCCACGAAATTCGTCTCATTATCGCTTAGCATACAAGCGGGGATACCTCGACGTGAGAGGAAGCGGTCAAATGCAGCCAAGAACGCGTTCGTCGAATAATCGTGAACGAATTCGATATGTATGGCCCTTGTCGTGAAACAAATGAACACGGCAATATATGCTTTATAGGCCGTCTTTCCGCGACCAGCGGAGTTTCGAACACGGTATGGACCCGCGTAATCAACACCGCATTTCGCGAAAGCGCGAACCGGTCGACTTCTTTCCGGTGCTAAGTGCTGCATAATTTGCTCGGATGGTTTAGCTCGCCATCCGATGCATCGCGTGCACTTATTAATCACCGTTCGAGTCTCAGACCGACAGCCGAGGATCCAGAATCGCTGCCTGACGTGAAATATCGTCTGCTGCAATCCTCCGTGCAGCGTTTGAAGGTGAGATTGCCGAATTATGAGCGTAGACACATAATGTTTCGGCAGGATAATCGGATGCTTGGTTTCCCAAGCAAAGACGAAATTTTCCAATCTCCCTCCGATTCTCAACACTTCGTCTTCGTCTAAGAACGGGTGCAGCGTTCGCAATCGCGATCTGGAAGGAATCGGACGCTGCTTTTTTAAGCAGCTCCACTCCTCCTTAAACTGCATTCGTTGCATGTACAACACGATTCTGGTCGTGGCGTGATGTACTTCCGACGCATCGAGTGGAGCGGACTCGCCACGTTTGCGTTCACCCTTGAGTATTCAGTAAAATCGAATACAATAGGCGGTGACGCGGAGTAATTTTCTCCACGTCGAGAAGCGGAGAAGAAATTCCTATTCTCTTTCCGGGGCGACGATGTGTGTTTGAGTCGCGCGTTTTCCATCCTCGGTTTCCAAGGAAGTAGGCATTACTGGCCATTCACTTTCTGACTTGGTTAACCAAGGTGGTCCAGAGAACCAGAGCATTGAATTCAACAGCTCTTCTGCGTCAACACCTCGGGAATTCAGATCCGCGGGGTTGTATCGAGTGGGGACGTGCCTCCACTCGGCACTCGGCAAGGTTGTCTGGATCTTCGACACCCGATTATCTATTACTAGCTTCCATGTCGACGGATGTTTCCGTAGCCAAGCTAGCGCGATTGTGGAATCTGTCCAACAAATAATGCGCTTCACTGCAATAGCTAGTCAACTCTGTATGTGAGAGAGTAGCTCGGAGAGGAGGAGAGCTCCGTTCAGTTCTAGGACTGGAACGGTAAGCGTTTTAATTGGGGCGACTCGCGTTTTTGCCATCAACAGCGAGGTATGCACGCTGGAATCGGCCGCGATGACGCGCAGATATGCAGTAGCGGAGTAGGCCGCTAGCGATGCGTCACAGAATCCGTGCAATTCTACGGATTCGACGTCTTCTCCAATTTTTACCCATCGGGGAATCTTCAATTCATTTAACTTCGCCCAGTCCTCACAGAACGTATTCCACGTTCGGTGTGTCTCTGCAGATACTTGCTGGTCCCAAAGGAGTTTCTGCAGCCATTGGGCCTGCATAAGTATCTTTGCTCGGATCACGACTGGTGATAGCCAGCCGAGGGGGTCGAACAGCTTCGCGATTTCCGAAAACAAAGTCCTCTTTGTAATGGTAGTCGCGGTTGGAGTGAACCGTTGTAGATTGAAGAAAAAGTAATCACCCGATGGAATCCATCGTAAACCGAGGACCTTTAACTCAGAATCACTGAATAGCGTAAGGTCAACGGCGTGAGAGTGTTCACTCTGTGGGATGTTTCGGAGCAAATCTTCCGAATTCCCTGCCCATTTACGAAGGTTGAATCCTCCTCCTTGTAACAGAGAGCAGACCTGCACGCGTAGTTCTTCCAAGCGCGTTTTGTCAGGTGCACTCAAAAATACGTCGTCGACGTAGACGTCGTTCTCCATTACTGGAACTGCAAGCGGGTATTTACTTCCGTCTTGTCGCGCGAGTTCCAGCAACGTGCGCATCGACAAGTAAGGTGCACAGGCCGTACCGTAAGTGACGGTATTGAGTTCGAACGCAGTCAGTCGTTCGTCCTCAGGGCTGCGCCAAACGATGCACTGGAATTTTCTGTCCTCAGGGGCTACGAGAATCTGTCTGAACATCTTCTCGATGTCGGCTACCATCACGTACTGGTAAAGCCGCCAGTTTGTCAAAATTGCAGTGATATCGCGCTGCAACTTCGGCCCTACGTGGAGGATTTCGTTCAGCGAACTTCCGCCCGCTGATGCGCTCGATGCGTTAAAGACGACACGTAATTTCGTCGTAACGCTTTCTTCTCTCACTACAGCCCTGTGTGGTATATACGTTCGTGAAGAATCTATTGACCGTAATCTGGTCATATGATTCAACGACTCGTATTCTGACAGGAAATCGCTGTAAGATTGAAGGAGCGCAGTATTTGCGTCCAGCTTCCGCCGCAGCCGAGTTAACGCGGAGAGCGCTATTCTAAGCGAGTCTCCTAGCGCCTGTTCAGCATGCGGTTTTTTAAAAGGAAGTCGGACGACGAAACGGCCTTCTTCGTTTCGTGTCACAGTCCTTTTGAAATGCTCTTCGCATTCGGCCTCTTCCAGGGTTTTGTGTGCGATAATCGGCACCGCTTCAATCTCCCAAAACTTTCGAATCGCATTGTCCAATGATTCGAGCACATTGCAATGCAATGAGCTGATAAGTTTGGAAGGTGAAGCACCCTGTACTGGTCCGGACAGAATCCAACCGAACGCAGTTTCTTGTGCAATTGGCAGGTCGTCGTTAATCCGACGTAATCCGCCTGTCAATATACGCGCATACACGTCTGCTCCTAGAAGTATATCTATTGTAGTGTCAGCACATAGGTGCGGATCAGCTAATTCAAGTCCCTTATATTGAGACAGAATGTCAGCTTGAATCCGCGGTGGTGTGTACGAGGTGATTCTCTTGACGATCATGGCATTCGCGGTTAAAACCGGCGTTTGGCCTCGTCTATCGCCAATACCAACCTCGGCACTATTTTTAATGAATGCGGTCCGTCCGCCCCCCAGTCCGGATACGGTAGCTGGAGTTCGCCTCTTTTTTAGGCAAAGTTCATTCGCTAAATCTGCTGAAATGAACGACATTTCGGAACCCTGGTCTAGGAGAGCGCGAGCATAGCTCGATTTGCCGTTCGGTCCGTAAACACGGATCAAGGCTGTTGCTAGTAGCACCGAGTTAATCCCCTTCGATTGATCAGCTGTCTTGTCGCAGTGCATTGACACTGGCTGTTTCGAAGACGCTGCTTGAGGTTCACGCCTCGAATTCGGAGCATTCCGATGCTCCTTTTTACCTCCGCGATCAACGCGTCGAGGTGTGTCCTGCTTACCTTTAAGTGGACGCGTCTTACGTTCGTAGTGCAGTAACGTGTGATGGGATGCACCACATTTGTCACAGACTATCCTACTTCTGCAAGACGGAAGTGTATGTCCTTCAGACAAGCATCTGGTGCACATTTTATTTGCTCTAATCCAGAAATAACGCCCTTCTGCATCACGTTGTCGAAATTCATTGCAATCCGTTATTCGGTGCTGCTTTTGACAAAACGAGCAATTAGATGTCGATTCCCGTGCCCGTGTTTCCACGTTTGTTGCATGGGATCTGACTTTCTTCTTCTCGGATTTCGAGGAATTCGGTTTATTGTGCATATCCTTTGCCGCAAGAATAGCACTCACCTTATTTTCAAGAAAGCACATCATTTCGTTAAATGCGGGAAACTTTCGTGCATCATCGAAAGTCTGTTCCCATTCCGCCAGTAGCTCTTGATCGAACTGACTGGAAATGTAGAATACCAGGAATGGTCCCACTTGATCAACCGGGACGCCTAGTTTTGGAAGCGCGTCCAAGGCTTGTTGTAAGCCGATGGTTATCTGCGTGATGCTGTCTATGTTGTCGTGCTTAACGGGCTTGAGGTGGAATACCTTCTTAAACCACGAGGTCTGAATCAGTCTCGGGTTATTATAACGCTTTTCTAGCGTTGCCCAAGCTATCGAGAAGTTCTCGTTCGTTAGCTCCAACGTGGAGACGGTACGCAATGCGTCGCCTTCCAAAGCAGCTTTTAAGTACTGCAAACGTTGAGCATCCGACAACGTAGGATTATTGGTGACTGCTGAACTGAAGAGATCGCTGAAAGCCGGCCAATCTGGATGATTTCCGCGGAAACGCGGGAGGTCTAGTTTCGGTAAACGAACTGACGCTCTATACGAGGCATGGCCTTGTCCGGCGTATTCGCCTGACGATGCACGCGCTTCTTGCGCTTCTTGCCTTTCGAGAGCCCGAATCTGCTCGTAAATGTACCCAGCAGTTTCGTGGAAGACTCTCTCGAAATCATCCATATGTTTAGCCTTAAAATAGCTAAGTTTCTCCCGTTGCTCCGGGGTCGTCGATGCAATTATGCATGCATGGCGATTTTGAACACCGTCCCATTCTTTCTCGAGTATATCGAGCTGGGCTCGGACATAGTCCACGGTGTATTCCGACTTCAATTTCTTCTTCATATTGGTTTTAATATTCCCAATACGATTACTCCTTTCGAGGTGAGCTAGAATGAATACATCTAGATGCATTCCTCCTAGAATATCCTTTTTTGGAGTGGACATTATTGCTAGATAATCGTAACTTCGAATTATCTATACTGTATTCGGGCGCAGTGAATTCACTGTTTCTGTTGGCACGTAAACGTAACCGCTCCGCTCTTTCGATCCGGCTCGAAGGACCTTTTGTTAGGAGATTTAGCCTAAACAAAATTTGACTGGTTCCGGATAAGAGGGAAGCAGGTTTAAATAAAATAAAAGTATGAATCCTTTTATAGATAACAGTTTATTCAACCGCCGACACTGCCGGCGATTGCTCTTAGGTGGTACAATAATTTCTTTGTACAGTTTTTCCCTCGGCGAAGGCTGAGGCCGAGCTCCTATCGTCTGTTGCTGTAAACAAAGCAAACGAACGAACCGATTTTATTAATTTGAATTAACGACTGAATAACAGTCGCGGACTGTGAAGAATTATTCGAAAGAGAATACTCTTTCCTTCGTTGCCCTTATTTTTCACACTAGATTTCGGTATGCCGAAACCGTGCTCGCGTTACGCCGCTTGCAATTGCACGCACAACCAAAGTGGCTGTACGCGGAAGTTCGGGTCGTAAATCCGAACTTCTACTGGCATGCACAAGCTCAGTACGCTTGCAAGCTACACTCTTCTCTGGTGCACCTTCACCAGGGAGATCGAAAACGCTTATTATTCGCGGAACCCTGCAGTATCGGGTGAATTATCCAATACCCACTGCAGGCCCTTGACGAATGCGTCGATCTCACAACCGGCGGTCGACCAACAATTGGCCACTGACCCGGAGCGTAATCCACTAGCAAGATACGACCTCCTGTTCGTATCTTGTTCCCTGCAAAGAAATCAGTGCGGGGCAAC